TGTATTAGATGTACCAAAGCCTGCAATCATTGTAATAAATCCCCTTTTTACGTATAGCGATTGATTCTATAAGTTCTGTTACTCTAGAGAATCCTGACTAATACAAATGCCAAAGAAAAGAAGCCATTGTGAAATGGCTACACCCTGCACAAGTCTATCTATGTGACATGATTAGACAAAGTTTGATTGCACAAAAAATATAAGGATTTATTTGTTCATAATTTTGTATATGAGTGTTTTTCCTGCAAGTATGTATGTTTGACATGTATATGCCTGGTAGTCATGGACCTAGCAGACGGCATTGGATCCTCACGGAATAGGATTTTCAGATCATTGTAAACTACTCTGAGTTGGTAGGCTCTGAATCCAGTTTCTCTGCAAGAGTACAAGTAAACCATCTCTCCATAGCAAAGGGAAAAAAATTCAAAAGAATGACAGTGTATGTATAATACCAGCAGTAGTCAGAGATAGGACTGCCTAGATAGATAAGTGAATTTGAAAAGTTACAGGTTCAGCAAGATACATTGACCTTTTAAATAAAGTGAAGAGCAGTAGAAGACACCCAGTGTCACCTTTGGCCTCCACACTCACGTGTATGTGCCCACAAACACTGAAACACAGACATACGTGAGCAACACCTATACATGCACATAAAGCTAGGTTGATACTACAAGATACTGATCAAGATCAATGTAAGTACAATGTGCCATTTTCTCAATCTACAAGTCAAAGACTATTCTAAAAACTAAAGTTTATTGATTAAAAAGAAGTCAAGTAAACATGTGCGCGTGCACACACACACACACGCACACACAGTACAATCAGTTCTTCCACATGGCAAAGACTTGAAATAAGCTTGCTACTTCTCTTAGACCTCATGCCAAGATCCAAAATACCATGGGACATATGAAACTATAGAAGGGGAAGAAGAGAAGGAGGTAGAGAAAGGAAGAGGGAGGGAGAGATCTTAAGTTTTAAAAAAAACAGCCTTTTGTTAACACTGGTTGGCAGTGACTTGAATAAGTCACTGAAGTTCCACAGCCTAATGGCTGACTGCTGCACCAAGAGATATTCAAAGTTGTACGTTCCAATCCTGTCTCCTTTCCAATTTACTTTATGTGCAAAATTCCAATGGCCTTCCACAACCTTAACGTGTTTGGATCTCTTCCATCTTTGAGTCATATTCTAGTATTGCTGACCATTAAAAACGAATGTTTCAGTAGGGCTGGAGCAGTCTTATTAGCCAAAGCCAAGGCTTTATGTGGCTTGTGCACTTTAAGAGGTTAATATACCCTGCCAGCTTGCTTTGTTCAGAAGTATTAAGTGGAAAGACTATAACATTCAAAGAAAGGCAAAGTTCACTGGGTAAGACCTTGATAATATAATGGAGTATTAAACCTCTAGAAATTTTTGTCATAATATTTTATGAAACATATGCACATGCTCACTGGAACAGAGTCCAAATTAAATGGTTTTGAAGGTCAGTTCAAAGTCACCATGCATGCAATATCTCTAGGAGAAATATGCGCTCTTTTGAAAATGCCATGACCAAGAATCTCTCTTCTTTACTTTGTTATCAATCCTGGAATGTGCTGGAGAAGGAGGGAAAAGCTACTTCTATAGCAATGACACTATTTTCAGCCAAAGCATATGTCCCTGTCAACCAACTCTTGTGTTGAAGAACAAAGAACTCTTAGAGGCATACTTTAAGTATGGGAAAAAATATAGCAAATAACAATTATGTTATTCTCAATTTCAAAGCCAGTTATGCACAGCCATTAATTGCAGGATAAAACAAAAATTCATCCTAACTCCACAGAGAAAGCTCAGCAGTTAAGAACACTAGCTGGTCTTTTGAAGGAGATGACTTCAATCCCCAGCATCCAAATGGCAGCTCACAACTGTCTGTAGCTCCAGTTCCAGGGTATCTGACACCTGCATATAGACATATGTGCAGGTAAAACACCAATGCACATAAAATAAAAATATTTTTAGCAAAGAAAATAAATGGGTCTTTATTAGCTAGACAGATTAGAGGGTCTAAGAGCCCAAGGGCAGAGAACAAATCTCTACTTTGCATGAGGAAGATCAGACTTCTGCAAGAATATAAAACTTCGAAAGTTGGTTGTTCCTATATTGTCCCTATCTGAAGACAGGAGTGCCCTGAAAGTTCAAAGCTATTCACTGCTTAAGAGCCATCCCTGGGGCTACCTTAATCTGCTTAAAACCATGAGGCCTTTTCTCACTCTCCTTCCAGTTTTATCCTCTAAACATTAATAATGTATGCAAGGAACTCAGTAAATGATCACCATGAAAGAAATAAAACCTTTGTAGCATTGTATGTAGCTTTAAAGACATATTGGTTAATTTCCCAAATTTCTTGAGGTCTGAGTAACATCCAAGTGGACAGTAGAAGTAGACAACATGGCCCTAATGGCAAATATTGACTCTGTCTTAGCAGTCCTGGTACTTCCGGATGATCACTGGCGATAATCTAGATTCACTTCAATGGGACGTAACTTTGTACAAAAAACAGCCTTAAACACATTCCACATTTACCATGTACATTTTATCATGGCAAAGTTTTATTGTTTACTACTTTCATATTGACTTTTTAGTCAGTGGATTATAACTGAAGAACTGGTCATTAATTGAAATATTATTGAAAACTTACTGTGATATTCTATAGAGTACAAAGATAAGCCTTATTTTCCCACAGCTCATTTGGTGGCATACCAAATGGGTATATGTCTGAAGAACTTGAAGAGTTCTGCCTATTTGTAATTACTGATGAGTATATCTGAGTATTTTTGTATGGAGAAAATATCTGTAGCTAATTATATCACACTTTTCTTAATCAGACAATGGGAATTGAACAAAGAATAGTCTGGAATCCTATACAATTTCAAAGCATTAGCAGCTGTTCAAGAACTTTATTGTTAGAATGTTTGAAAACATTCGGTTTTGCATAACAGCAGCCTGATACTTTATAAAGATCAGATTTTCAGCCAAAAATGAATACATTCCAAATATTGGGCAGCTACAGGAAGCATACCATTAGATAGGCCATGGCTTTTAACATGCATTGTGTATCACATAAAGAGGCAGAGGGGACTTCTTGAGTATGTACCCAGATTCAGGTCAGGGTACCTAACATCTACCCCAAACAAAATTTTGTTGTGGATTAAGAATTTTAGTGAGAATAAATTAACAGTTTGCTATTCATCCTTCACAGAAGAAAAAATTAACTGTTCTTACAGAAATAGTGGCATCTACCATAGTAGGTATTTAGTACTCATTCATTTTGGGGGAGAAAAAAAGAATTTTCTTTCTGGATGCTTGGGGGCCCGAGGTGCCACTTCTCTGAAGGGCACCATCAGCTCTAAGTCTGAGCCTGGTCTCTGTGGTAAGAGAACAGTGAAGGTCACAACCATGTGCTCAGAGGATGGGGGTCTTCTGAATGTGCAACTCACTAGGAACCTTCTGCCATAAGAAGCTCACCCTGTTTTCTTTCCTTTTCATGACATCTTGGGCTCTCTCATGACAGTTCCCTCCCTGATTAGTGCAATGCCATATATTCTTGCCAATAGGCCTACACATGCCACTGAGTACCCTTTTTGAACCAATTTTCATAAACTATACCCCAAGGTTCTGAAATGCATAAAGCTTCACTCTTCTTCCCTCCTTTTGTCCTAGAGAAATTTACTTACAGGAAAGATGATATAATCTGTTGGTAGCAATGTAAACTTGAGATGCAATACATGAAGCTCAGGCATTCTGCCCTTAGCATGGGTTCCTCCTGAAGTTCTACTACACCTACCTTCCTAGAAACACCTAAATCTCTGGGCTATAAAAATAACTAGGCGCCAATTGCCTTCTGAAGCCTAAGCACACTGTCTCTACATTTGGGACCTTATAAACTGAATGAAGGATAATAAATTCTTTTTCAGGATTGATTTTATTTTTAAATCTTCATTATGTCATAGGTAAATTATCTGACAGAAATTAGCTATAGCATGTGTTTGTACAGTCTACACCTATTTATTTAAATTACTCCAAATTGCTTATAAAAATGAATATAATTATTTGAAATCACCATTCAGTGGAATTTACACACAAACTACAGAGATTTTTTTCTACAGTAAAATAAAATAGATTAATCTAGGTATGAAAACCTATTTGGAAAGTTGTGGATATAAAACATTTTAAATCTTTTGCAAAGCTACATTTCTGAAACATTGGTATCTTTAAAACCGAATGCACACAAATCTTATTATCTAGCTATTATTTTAATCTATTATAGCTGGGGGAGCATACACACATTAAAAATCACATCAGTGATGTTCAAAAGGAACAGAAGATGGGAAAACATATACACATATTAGAGTGATAATACTGTCCATTAAATGGTAAATAAAACACTGTAAATTGTGTATCTTCATAGTGAGATTACTAGGAACATATCTGCACTTATGGCTGCCATCTGGAGAACATTAGCTAAATAATTTACTCAGAAATAAGCATCGTTTAAAATGATATTCACTACATCAATAATTGCAATGTTAAAATTAAAAAAAAATTGGGCAAAATGAAGCTTACTATATATCTTTAAGTATGTTAAGAAAAAGGAGATAAGGAAAAGAGGATACTACAAGCCTTTAAAACAAACAAAAGTTATATTTTTTGAGGAATGGCATGTCCATTTTCTTTTTTTGTAAGCTTTATTGCTAGTCCAGATATGAACATTTCAATGTGGCAATGATACTTTGATTATATAGTGTATGGACTCATGCAGAAATAAAGAATTAAGCATCTATGTGCCTCTGTATGTATAGGCATCCTGTGTGCATGTGCTCATGGCATGTTTGTTTGAATGTGGCATTAAGTATGGGGCATATCACCTACACTTCCGAGTTCTTTAATTTTTATCTAGAGTTGAGGAAAACAAAAGTGAAGGATGTCAGGAGAGAGTAAATAGTGTTCTTCTTGTGTCAACTTACCGGTTTTTCGCAAGGGGAAATCATCCTTGGCGTCTTGGGCTCCTGGTAATGTGTACTTGTAGGATGGAGACGTCCCACTGAGGGGTGGAGAGCTTTGATCCAGTGATGTGTGGTGGGCAGCCCTGCAGAAAACAAAGAAGGTTCATATTGATGCTATGCTAGTTAGCACATGTGGGTCAGAAACATTAAGTTTTCCATGCTGGCCAGTGCTTCGGCTCCATTTATGTTTTTCCCCTTAGTGTATCCAAACCCAAGCCTCATGTACCCCAGTTCACTTTAGCAAAGTATGCAATGGTGCAGGAATCCTAGAAATACGGACTTTGCATTTGGTCACTCGGTCATGTGGAAAACTTCATTTAGTTATAAGTAAGGATTGAGATTTCTATTGTAATGACTGTGTATGAGTTCTCAAAAACTTTACAAAAAGAAAGCTACCATTTGGATCTCTTGAAATCACCACTAAAGAACAAGCACAGTTGAAGTGACGATATCCAAAGACCTCATTACTGCCAGAGAGCAACAGCCAAGACCACGAGGATGCTCTTTGCACTAAAAAGACAGCAGTGCCAGAAGTCTCAGAGTCTGGACTCCCATGGGCACTCCACATGTGTGGGAAATAGAGCACACGCTCCCTCAATATAAAACTAACTCTTTGAAAGTATTTTCTCTTCCTTGGAGGAATACATTGAAAAGAAGCAATTGTGCTACTGGAGAAGGCTTTAGAAGATTTAACTCAGATGACTCGGTGTGCACAAACACCACAATTATTATATATAATGGAGAAAGTGCCCAAGACACAGGGCCACTCCCACACTGACTTCTACCACAGATTTTTATTTGAGAAATACAGTCTTTTTTTTTTTTTTTTTGGTTTTGGTTTTTTGAGACAGGGTTTCTCTGTGTAGCCCTGGCTGTCCTGGAACTCACTCTGTAGACCAGGCTGGCCTCAAACTCAGAAATCCACCTGCCTCTGCCTCCCAAGTGCTGGGATTAAAGGCGTGCGCCACCACTGCCCTGCGAGAAATACGTTCTTATCAGTGGACTTATTGAAGATCATTTTGCATACTTGTAATTGGTAAAAAGCATCGAAATGTGTCCTTATGGCCTTTGTGTGCAGAGGGAGACCAATCCCTTGAGAATTCAAGAGAATTACCCAGAGCCACATAGTCAATTACTGAAATTAATGATTTATAGTAACTTGGAATTATATTCTATGCAAACAAGTAAAGATCACTGCTGACATGAGGAACCATGTTTAATATATTCAAGGGAACTGTTGAAGAATTCTCCATACATGAATTATTTCCGAATAGTTGTTTCTCATTAGAGACTTATGTTATATTTTCTTTAAATCTTTTAACTCTGTAAGCATTATGAGTCAGTCAGATATTATGCGGACAATTTTAGGTAACACAATCATACTTCTTTCAGGTAATTTGTGATATTGATTGGTTTTTAAGGCCAACTGATACAAAGGACACAATTGTTCAGATGTCTGGAATATTTTGGAGTTGGCCAACAGGCAGACAACCTCAGTTTAAGATGAACAGGAGAGAAGTCACCTACAAAACAGATTAGGAAATAGAGGGACTGGTCTTTGAAACTCTTGGCATGCTTCCAAATTCCATAAAATAATTAGTATTTACTTCCTGTCCTTGATACAAGGGATTGAAAAATATATTCACACAAAATCTTAAGGCCATTCAAGAAACACGTTTATGTGAGAACTGAATCCCTTATCCGATAGCCTATTATCGAATACGATTTGTTAAAACTAGTCTTTGATCTGATCCTGAAGGGAAAAATCACATTATTCCTATCTCACAGAGAAAAGAATGCATTTTATGTAATATTTTGTGGAAATGAGGTTCCATAAAAGCTCGAAGAATACCATGTATCTTGTCTGTGTGTCTGTCTGTATCTCAGAGGCCAAACTCTTATTTCACTGGTGGAAAGAAGTGAGCTACAGTGGATAGGGCTGGAGGAGTTAGGAAGGCTTAGGTTTGTTTATATTTCTTCCTCCTATACCTTCATTTCTTTATCTTCGTCTCCAAAATCGAAAAAAATGGTCTGAATTTCTCAAAATAGCTCTGCTTTCCATTTTATATTAAGCCAAGTGAAACAAGATAAAGCCACAATCTGCTAAACGTTTATACATTCTGCACAGATACCAGATATACTAGATGAGGATTCAAAAACATCTCTGGGTCCACCCAGATTCCAGTTATTCATTCACCAAAGATGATCCTCTCTGCCCTCACAGTGGTAACTGCTAATAACTGAGCACTGCTTGCTTCTATTTATTTTATAATTTTGTTTTTTTTTTGTTTTCCCTTAGGACCTTGCCAGCAACTCTACAGGTAGGCACTGTTTTAATCCCTTTTGTGGCGAAGAAAGCCAATCCTTAGAGATTTCCAGGCATTGTCAGTAGCCACACAGCTGAGAAGTGGCAGGTCCAGAATTTTTGCCCAGTTCAGCCAAAGAGAGAACCTGTGTGCTCTCTACCCCCAGGATGAAAACAGCCAAACACAGAACATACGTGTACCAGAGCTTGGGATGGCGGCCCACGGAATGATTTTTTCCATTGGTTGGAGTGTCTTTCGTTGCTGATTTACTCAACAGGAATTCTTGAAGCTTCTGCTTAACCTCTGTGCTTGCCACTGCCCCTGAAACACACACACACATACACACAGGGACACAGACACTGACTGTGAGTTACTTCCTCTTGCCACTCAAGAATGCTCAACAAAGGTTATGAAGACATATCACACTGGTCACAGCATTTGGAGCTTTCCTATTAAAAGAAAAAAAAAATCCCAAAATCTACACAGGCTTTAGGAAATGGCAGAGTTCTATCTTGTAACTGTTCCTTACATTACAATTTTTCAAAAGTACCTTCAATGATTTCTTTGATCGTTTTTATAGGAAGGGAATTCCTCTATCATCAATCCGTCTTTAAATTTAAAGAGAAAATTGCTGACAGTTGGGGTTGTACTTAATGGTACACTGCTTGCCTAGTATTTATGAGGCTTGATGTTCAGTCCCCAGCACTTACAAAAAACAGATGAAGAAATAGGAACAAAACACTAGTTTTTAATATTATTTTATCTTTTTAAAAATTAGGAATCTTGGGGAATGTTGCAGATAGCTACGATACATTAAAATGATCTAAGTTTCTTGTCAATCAATTCAACATTGTCTTAAAATTCATTTGAGTATTAAACAGATAACTTTTGTTGGTAGTTTCAGTTCAAATCACCATACTTTAAACTTCGCAACGACCTGAGTTTGAACTGCTTGGATAGAGGGCAATCATTTGGATCTGTCTCCCTCTTGTGGACCGTTAGTCTGCAAACGTTCTGCCTTGAGTCTTTCCAGAGTCTAAGTAGACCAATAGGGAACCGAGGCACACTATGAGGTTCAGAACAATGACTGCTCGGGCAGGAAGAAGGAAGAACTGAAAACATGTAGATATTACTTTATTACCAAACAGGGAGTCTTACACTCAATCACTTTAGCATGATGTTATTTTCAAAGTCCAAAAAAACCAGTCTGTGTCTTTGCTAATGCTGTGTTAATTTCCCATTAAGCTCTGCAGAGCTAAAACAAACGGGCACTTTTGTCTATACGTTATTCTTTCAGTTAGACAAGGACATTTTGACAAGTCTATTTCCATTCTTTATCAGGCTTCTTGCAATGGTCAGCTAAAGATTCAGAAGATAGTGTGTCTGTTACCCTGGTGCCTCTTACTTTCTCGTCCTCTATCTTTGCCTCTGAGAGGAGGAAGCTGCTGCTCTCTGCGATGCCTCTCTACTTCCTGTTCTTGCCTCTGCTGCTCCAGTTTCTGCTCCTTTTCTAGGAGTTCTTGCTGTTGTTTTATGGCTAGAAGTTCCTGTTGTAACTTGCGAGAAGAGAAAGACATGAGAGTGTGCAATTTCTTTAAGGTTCAAAGTCATCACTCACGGCCCCAAATTGCAATGTTATCAGCTTTTGGAACTTGACAGTATTTAGTTTGTGCTTCAACCACTTTTTTATGATTGAAATATGAAGACAGGAAACTAAAGTCATGACGGTTTTTATATCTACAACAAGCAAGCTTTTAGAAGATTCCACTACTTGTGTCTCCCTATCAACAATTATTACCAAGTACCCTCAGGACATTTGAATGCTGTTGGCTTGAATCTTTAGTTCTCTTTCTTGTGTGGCCACAAAATGCAGAAACATGCAAAAACAGAGACAGCCTAGGTGTCTATTACACAAAGTCTCTCACACTCTAAATAGACAACTGAAATAATCAGTTCTTACCCTGAGATACAGTATAAAGCTCAAGTGAATAGAATGAGAAGGTGTGAGTTAATTTGGGGAAAGTCTATATAAAACAGAACAAGCACTAAGACTTTTACCACCTCACAGAGACAGTTCTTATTAGAGTGAAGTAATCTACATATCCATACACCTCTCTAGAAAATACAGAAGCTTCAGAACTGTCATCTAATGTGGGAAAACTTCAGGATTAGAGACACAGTTGCAAATGAAATGACTTCCACAAACTGTTCTTCCATGCACTGGCATTTGGCTTTTTGAATTCTCTGAATTTACTACAAACCATGTATAACAAAAATATGAGGTTATCTGTTAAAACTTTTTAAAGATATGAGCTCCTTACAGACCTAGAATATATATAATTTATATCGATATCTGTCGGTATGTATGTATGTATGTATGTATATCAAGAAAAGCAAACGTATCCAGTGAACAACAAAAGAACTCTGGAGTCTTACTTAGCCTTTGCCACTACTGGGTATGAATTCTGACAAGATCCTAAGGCTACAAAGAACTTCTGTTCATTAAAATAAGACAACAATAGGTTTCCTTGGATCAGATTCATAATTAACACAAAATTTAGTTTTGAATGATACAATTTCAATTATTACTATTTATAACTTAATACTAACTAAAGTATAATTTATCCTTTGAATACGAGATACCTAAACACCTCTATTTTATACCAAATGTTAGAACAAAAATAAACGTCTCTGTGGAGTGTCGTCAGGACCTTCTTGTTGTTTCTTTGGAGCACTAAGAAGGCAACTTTTTATGCCAACTGCAATAGCCTTACCCAAATTTGAGGCCATGATTAGGAGTACTTCTGTTTACTCTCCATAGGACATCAGGAAGTCATGGGGTTTTGTTTTTATTTAACAACTACTTAATAGATATTCTCAAATACCCACTGTTACTTAGGAATTCATAGTTATGTTTAATTCTGTTTTAATATAAATTCTATAGGAATATTGAGACTGGTCAAATCGATTTAATGCTTTATCCAAAGCTTCACTGCAATTGAACTATAATTCCTTCTAGGAATGGAAAAGCACATACATTCAGGAACATTGTAACAACATTTAGCCAAGGTTATAGAAATGAGGCCTATCTAAAAGTTAAAACGAAATAAAACTTCACATTGATTTTCAGATATTTTAGCCTTAGTGAAGCATAGTGACTGAGGAACTTTGCCAGCTGACAGGGGAAAACAACGCATTTTGAGCATCTACATTCTAGTTACCTTCTACGTGGCTTTGCAAAATCACACTGCTTCTGCCTACCTAGTCGACTAGGGGAGAACCTAGACCAGGATGGAAGGCAACAGGTGCTGATTAGGACAAGAGTCAGTGCTCAAAGTTAATGCAGCTAAAGCCTGGTGTGCTGTCTTCCTCATGCCACAAATCTAAATGGACGATAAAAGCATTAACCTTTAGACCTATCTATAAGACAGCAACAACAAAATAAGAAAGTTAAGGAAGCACAGAACTTCCCAGTCTTAAAAGGAACATGAAAACATATCTCCTATCCCTCACAAAATAATGTACTACTTAGGAAAGCCATCTTCACAAAGCTCCAGTTTCCTTTCGCCATCTCATAATCCTCATTCTCTGAAGTGCATTTTTTTCCAACATCTTTCCAGATGTCAATCAAGTTGCCATATCGTTTTGTTTGTGCCATAGAAGCAATTGCCTGCTCTTAGTTTCTGGGTGAAGTCAAATGATAAATTACTCACAATTGACGTTAGCAGTAAGAAAGGCACTGGACATTAACGAAAGGAAGAAATAAAAAACTGAGCGATGCAACTTGCTTATCAGCCTGTCTCAATACTCATGGCAAAGACTTGCACACAAAAGGAAATGAACCATACATAGTCATTCAGATCTCGAAGCAAGGTGAAGAATGAAAATGTTACTCATGCCTCACTGCTCTGTTATCATGCCTAGGAGGACTGAAGAATGAGATCCAGACATCGATGCTTCTACTACTGTTTCAAGGGTCAAACTGAAATAACACTTTGGCATTTATTCAAAACTAAATGTACAAACTAAGTGAATGTTACTCATATAAATATAACCATGAGACAAGGATTTCATTGGAGACACACATACAAAACACTTCACTCTTATTTTTAAGCTATGTTATACAGCAATAATATAAAAGTTACTAGTAAAGGAAAGTTCACTAGTAAAGGAAAGAGAATATGTTTTATGTTAGGCATAGAGGAGCCTTTTATGCAAATAATATATCTTGCAGAACAAGGGAAATGGGGAAGAAAATAGTACTTTCATCTTCTTAGACATTTTAATTTAGTGCTATAAGTTAGTTATCTATATTAATACCACATTCATGTGTTTGTCCTTGATATAAAAGAGATTAAGTGCCTAGAATACATTATAGTAAAATATGACAAAATCCATAACTCAATTGATTATCACCTCTAAGTCATCTTTGAAGGAGTTGACTATAAAATAAAATTTTATTGTAAATATTTTGTGCTTTAAATAAAATAAATTCAAATTAAATGTCTATTTTATTGAACTAAAACATCCCTGTGCATTTTAAAATTTTTAAAAACACTGGCCCACTTTGTAGCTCAAGTTTTAGCTCTCCCCCTCTCAACTTCTTAAGTTTTGAGATTAGAGCCATGTGCCACCACCCCCTCCAAGTTGTCTGTTACTAAATGCCTTTGCCAATTATTTGAAAAAAAGATACAAATAAATCTACAGAGATATTTTTCCAGTGAATATTCTGAAGAAGAAAAAGAACAATTTGGCATATATACAATCACCAGATGTCAGTAAAAATTCTGAGCTTATGCTATATTTCCCCTGAAATAACAGTCTATAAAAATATTGAAATATTTATGCCATTTTTTACATATAAAACTCCCTTCATCTTTTCATTGTATTTTTATTTTGATTATATGCCCTATGGGATATTTTCTATAGAAGAATTAGCAGTGAACTAGACTGAGAACAAAAAAATGTGACAGAAGAGGGCTGTCTCTCTTTAAAGGATGAATTTATCCTTCCTGATAAATTGTGCACACAGATTCCTTAGCAACAGAGCATGGACTTGTCCAGGCTTGTGGTTCTTGGTGGTGACTATATGGAGCACAGGAGCACATAGCAGAGAGTATTCATGAGAATGGAAAGATTCTGTGGCTACCAGTGAGTCTATGAGGGAAAAGGTAAAAATGGCAGAGCTCTCCCATTAACAAAGCAAGGGTTTACCAGGTACTTACCCAAGTTTCCGACCATTACAATCACAATTTCCTTCAAGCCACACATCCATGTCTTAATCACAGGGAAATTCCCCATCAGTGCTCCCATGGGTCGGTCTTATGCCCACATCATGGTGCAGATGCCCTGATTGAGAGGTCAGAGACAAAGACACATTTGCTACCTTGATGTGCTCCTGGAGTTGTGCTTGGTGCTGCCTTGTCAAATTCTCGTGCTGCTTCTGAAACTCTGCTATGAGGAGCTGCTTCTGGATTTGCTGTTGCTGTTGGATGAGAAGTAACTCTTGCTGCAGTTGCTTCTCGCGGACGACAGGATCCACCACAGGCATCATCATCCTGAGGTCTGTCCTTAGGTCTAAAGGTGAGATGGGCTCCAAGCCCATAGGAACCTCTGATTTCACATCCACTGAAGACACAGGAAAGAAGACAGAGAATGGGGTAGAGAGGTTTGGAAATTAGCACGCTGATTTGTAAATATACCAAGAACAAAAAACACTATACCCTGTATAGTACATGTAAGCACATGTATAAAGAAATAGGTATACTCTCTGCTTTATATTGATGGTAAATCAGTTTAGGTAAAGGGTACCTAGGTTAATTTTCACTCAGTGATGTTTTCTACCTTGAACTTCTACAGTTGTCTTTAAAAAAAAAAAAAACAGATGGATTCAACTAGTGGTACCAAGAATCATTCATAAAATGTATTAGAATGGATCATTTAACTGATGTAAGCCAAAGAAAACCAAGATGAAGGAAAGATATCCACAACAAATGGAAGTCTGTCACAAGAATTCATGGACTTATAAAAAGTTTTATACTCAGAGACAGAAGATAAATTCTACCTTAAATTAAGTGTGTCGTGCAGTACGTCTGCATCACCATTTCACCTGGGAAAGACATGGGAGAAACTACATCCAGATTCAGATCATGGTGACTAACCAGAGCAACAGGCCAAACCCACACACAAAGAAGTGAGAGTAGCCCGGTGCCTAAGTGCTGATGTTTAAATAGCAAGCATTTAAATTGTGGAAACCTCATTCTTAAAATAAACAAGAGAGAAAGAAGTATGAGGGAACTTCAAGTAAATATTTAATCAAATCACCGAAGGAAAAATTGACCCAAGAATATCAATGGAAGACAATATTTAAATGGATGAAAATTGAAATATATATATATCCCTTCACTCAAAGAAAGCCTTAAGCAGCAAAGCTACAGGCAGGGTAGTTCTCCAGAAGGTGCTTTTTTACAGTTAGTGTCTACACTGATTAGTCAGTACCCATTCCAAACTGGTGGTTAAACATTCTGAGGAATACATCTACACAGAGGAGTCAGAGAGGCTTTATAATTAAGTCAAACAGGGCAAGTTAATGACAACAGGTCTTTGGGAAGCTGAGGTTATAATTCTTTAAAATTAGTGTACAAGCACTCAGATCTTATACCTAGCATAGACAGAAATAACCAGAAATTATAATTGCAAAAATATTTAAAATACTTTAACTTTCTGAGTGAGAAGCTTAGAAAATGGTTCAGTAAGTCAACCATGACACGCACAGACTGCTAGTTTCAACCTCTATTTTAAAGCCAACCCAATGCGTGTTACAAGTCCCCTATCTGCACAAGTCTGAGAATGTTATCTCTACTAGGTCTCAGCTCCTCACTGTTAAAGTAGAAATGATCTTTGGAACAACAATAACTAAAGGTTCAAATGAAGGCAGTTATTCAGAATATATACAGCATACCGCTCAGTAACGTTTTTGGGTTTTTGTCTTTTCCATGATATAAAAATAAAAATTTTCTGTAGAATAAAATAATTCATCATTACTGATTGGCTAGCAGATCAGAAGTATATAAACAATTATGATAATAAAATGGTAAGTGATTTCTATTAGCTATTATTATTATTAGAAAATAAAAACACAATTCAACAACTAAGAATCACCCTTATCAGTAAATAATGTGATCTATTAAAAAATCAAACATTATTATGAAGTTACTAACAATCATATACATGCACATGTATATATATATGCAAGTATATATTTCTATATACAGAATGCCTCACTTTATAAGGTAAGCAAATGACTGAATTATTTATTGAGAGTGGTACTTTCAGTTGACATAAAACTGCCAAGAAAAAGTAAATCTGCAACATGAACTAGGAGATATTCAATATTTTACCTTTTGATTCAGATTTGCCACTTCTAGAAATAAATAATGTAGAGACAATCCTAATGAGGACAAATCCATATTATTTTCTGGAGGTTGTTTTTCGTTGTTGTTGTTATTTTTCTTTTCTTTCTTTTTTTATCATAGTCATCAAGAAGAAAGAACACCAAAATAAAAAAAAAACATTCATTTGTTTAAAAAAAAAATCTAGTAGGTGGCTGAGGAGAGGTCAGCTGATTAATTCTTGCCTCCTAAGCATGAGCATCCTAATTCAATCCCCAGACCATACATTAACAAACCAATCAATGATGGCGTTGCACACTTGGAATCCTAGTACTGGGGAGGTAAAGACAGACAATTCCTGAGGCTCACTGGCCAGCCAGCCCTGCCCACTTGGTGATTCTCAGGCCAGGGACAGACATTGGGGGGGTTGTGTCCTGGCCTCCACATGTTTGTGCATGTGTGTGTACAAGCAATACAAGACATCTGAGAATGTACCCCCATTCATGCACATATGCTCAAAATGTATGAAATCTCTAAAACTGTTTATGAAAATATTAAAATGCTTAAAAGACGATAATAAATTGACCTTTATACGGTGATAACCAAACTGTATTCATCTTTATTGAGCCTCTTACAATATTAGCTATCATTATAAATGTTGTGCCCCAGAACTTTGAATAATAAAGACAAAAAAATTCAGCCAACTATGCATGTACACACTACACACACACAAATACACACACAAATACACACACACACACACACACACAGAGACAGAGACAGAGACAGAGAGAGATATATTAAAATTGCATTAGCCCATAAGTTCTGATGAAAGGAAGACACAGAGAACAGATGATAGTTGTTTTAGATGAGAAGACACATGATTATCTTTTTCTTCTGCATTTATACTTTTTCAAGTTGCTAGAAACACTCATTTGCTTCTACATGCTCTACTGTACTTAGGTTTGAATACCCTAGATTGGGAATTACAAGTTTGTATTCTATGCAGACCTATGAGTTGTTTCCAATGCTTAAGGAAGAGCTTCCAGTTATTCTGTTTATAGATGCCAAGACCTCACATGTAAATGCTTATGTGTCAAACAAGCTGTACAGCACACATGTGTGAGCACATGCAAACTGGTGTCAATCTTGGGTTCACTAACACTGGTTATTTTTCAATGTGTAGACAATTTTGTAGTATCAACACTGTGTATAAGAATTTAAGGAAGATGGGAAAAGATTCATTAATAAAATATAGTTTGGCAGGCAGCAACTTCTTGTGATATTATCCTTGTTCATGCAAGAGACTGTGATAGGTCTGAAAACAAGTGAAGATGGTCTTAGTAGGTCTCTTAGCTGGAAAGGGACAACACAGAATTTCAAGTCAAGACTGTGGCGTTTCCAGAGAACTTAAAGACTTGTCATGAATTGAGCCTAAAGCATTGCTGTTAATAATATACTTCATTTTATTCTATAATATCAATATGGAAATCCTAGTAAGCAAAGCTCAGAATCTTACCTTATAAATACCATATACATACATACACACACACACACACACACACACACACACACACACATATATATATCCAAATATCCAAAGACCTTTAGTTTTGTCTTATAGTTCATAAACTATAAACATCAAAACCTTAAGAATTTTTCAAACAAAAGAACAAGGAAAAAGATAAGGAATAAAAACCTACAGTGCTCTGAAACACTCATTGCAAACCTCAAAGTATAATTTGACTTCTTAACCTGCTATCCCAACAGAAATGATTGTGTCTAACTGCTTGCCTTTGTTCAGAGACTAATCACTAAATTGTGAAAAATCACCCTCAACTTATAAAAACTCCCCTTGATTATAAATAATTGCCCAAGACTGAGAAAAAGCGGCGGGCAAGATCCCAGTCTTTCATCCAATTTATTCAGCAGTGATCCACATTCCATTTGTCTAGACTAAATATAGCAGCGTTTATACAAGAAATCAATAGTGCTTGCAGAGAGGAAAGCGGAGGCATGAATATTTCATCAAATGTGAGGAGAAGTGGCAATCGCCAGAGCCTTGGCTCTGGCTGGGTCATCTCTGGCCTGCTGGATTCACCCCTGCCACTTGGACAACAGCTCATCTCTGAGAATTACTCTTATATCACTGTGGTTCTCTATTTTTAGCAGCTGTTGCATTGTGGGTGACAAAGAAGCTTCTTATTCCAAAAGGAATTTTTCTGACATCTTTGCTGACAGGCTAAGGAGATTCCCAGGAATGGTAATAGAAGTATGAGACCAGGGATAAGTTTTAACAAGTGACAATTACCTTTGTACACAGAATGTGTAAGAACACACACTGTGAATAGCTACTGAATTGTAATAAAAAAAAAACCAGTTTATAAGGAAAATATAGTCATTAGTTTTAGTAGTAGATAAATAGAATTCTCTCAGTTTATACTGTTTTTGGTTTGTTTGTTTGTTTGGGAAGACAAACAATTCTTCAAAGGTCCAGAAGTGGTTGTTCTGATAATGAGTCTGGCGTTGGAGCCCCGGCCCATGGCCATGTAATGTGATGAAGATGGACAGTAAAGGTGCTTACACTCCTGACTAGAGACAGGGCCTCCAAGTTTGTCTACAGAGCATGGCTACTGAGGAAGGGGTTGGAGATGAGAAATCTGGGCTAGTTCTTTATGGTAATGAACCAAGAATGCACAAAGAAGCTCATCCTTGGGACCCAACAGTTCCTTTCCACTAATCTTCCAGGAATAAAAGATGGAAACACAACCTAGGAGGCAGAAACTCAGTGTCACTTTCTGGTGGTTCTACTGTCTAGGAAGAACAAGGAAAAGTGACTTCTTTGTGCTCTTCAGATATCACCATCTGGATCTTCCAGCTTCAGGGTTGCAAAGGCTCTTGGCCACCAGAAGCCACTTCTTTCCCAGGTAAAGTGGAAATATGGCTGTCTGCTGTCTGCCAGTAGGAGTGTGTTTGTTTCTACAGAGATTTTGAGTGAGTTGGTGTTTGTTTTCTTCCACTGCTCCTATATGTTGTGAATTGATGATCTTGAACACTTCTCATCTGACTCATTATATCAGCATTAGCTTTTACACCTCCTCTCTAGGATAACTTCATGTTACCATTTCCAGGAGCTGGACCACAGATCAGAACATAGCTTTTAAATTGACATCCTCCTTCTTTATCAATTTACTTCAGCAAACTTTCATTTTTAGTGTATTCTTGTTTTATGCTAAA